TGCGGATAGAGAAGCCCTTGTGGTACGTCCGAAAGGCTGCTCCTTCCCCTTTGCCCCGAAGCATTTTGCTGGCTGGAAGAGCGCGCGGGCTTTCTGCCGTGCCTCGGGAGCGCTCCATGTACTGCACGGAAACTCCCGCTTCTCCGGGCAAGTTCGGAGCTGTCTCTCCGCATCGCGTCTCGGACGGCCGCAAAGTGGCAGGGCGAGCGGGAGCGGCCGGCGGAGCCGCCTGCTCCTGAAGTGCAGCTTCCCTGCGCCCAGGTTGTCCGGGTGGCGCGTCACGTCGTGGCACGGGGTCGTTCAGGGCTCTGGTTCGTGCCCCACCGAGAGCAGGGGTCGGTCTCCCGGTCCTGCGGCGCGGCACGATGCCGCGCCGGGGGGCTTTGGCAGAGCTCGGGTCTTGGTGAGGTCCCAGCGGCTCAGCCTGCTCCCAAAGCCCGTTTGGACGCTTTGGACTGGAGCTAAAGGCTGTGAGAGCCAGCAGCGAGGATGCGACCTCCTGCTCTGGGCTCTGAGCTTGCTTTTGAGCCTGCCTGCCTGCCCCTTACGGTCCTTGTAGTGAAATCCAGATAAGTTCCTAAGGCGGCAGGTCAGGGATGAGCAAGTGGCAGCAGGTTGTTGGGGGCCGGGCAGGCTCTTGCGCCCCGAACCCGCCGCGTTTTGGCTCCGCAGGGGCCGTGCTCGTCTCTGCGTGTGGACGGTTTTGCTGGCAAGGAGGGGCAGGGCACAGGGATGCGCGCTGGCAGGGAGACGTCGCCCCGTGCCTTTTTCCAGGAGGCCGTGGGGGCCACGAGGAGGGGAATTAGAGGTGCCGGCTCACGGTTTGAGGCTCGGAGCGATGTGCAGGCACATGTGTTGAGCTCTGAGATGACTCCCCGCCCGGCCACACGTGCAGCTCCGTGCCGCGCTCTGGCCCGAGCTCCCCCTCGTGTTCGGCTGCACATGTTTTTCAGTGTTCTCCCGATGGCTCTCTCTGTGTTAATGCAGGAATGGTTGATCTTTCTTGCCGGACCCCTGGCCACAGGCTTGCTTTTCTCCATGATCCAGGCGTAGCCCCCTTCTCCTTAGTGAAATGGCTGCGTCGAAGGCACCTCTGGCCTTTCCGAATATTCACGCTGGAGCCAGATGCTCAGACGAGCTCCGGCGAGGGCCAGAAATCCGTAGTTTTGATTGTGTGTGGGCGCCCACGCGTGCCCCAGGTGTGCCCCCACCGCCAGGCTCCCTGGAGGGGCAGAGGCAGCGATGGGCCGTGCCTTGCCGGTGCAGCGTGGGATCCCTCTGGAGGCTGCGTGGTCGCTCCCTGCCACTGCCACCGCTCGTCAGTCCCTCGCTGGTCTCGCACAGGGTCGTTTTCTGCTCCATTTCCTCCTCTAGCCTTTGGAACAAACCCCCGCCCCCGCCGCCCCGAGCTCTCTGCTTTCTTCTTCGTCATCCCGGCTGGGATAAAATATGACTGCAGCCGCGAAGCGCCGAGATCGCGGCTCCCCTCGGGGACTGTTTGCCCATATCACCTGTCGGATCGGGAGCCTGCATGTCCTTGGAAAAATATGTATTTCAGGCCGCTGGGGTGCTAATTTGCAAGGCCCATTACTCAAACGAAACATTAAAATGGCCGTCCATAAAGCTGAGCCTTTATCCGTGCCTCCCCCTCGGTCTGAACGCCCCACGCCAGGTATAGGCTTCCTGTCAAGCCTAGGAGCCAAAAGCAAAGATTTATCGATAGGTACCTTGACTCAGGCTCGCATTTTAATTGTGTCGCCGTCAGCCTGTGCCGAGAATAAACTCGGTGCCTATTGCGTTATCCTCGCTTCATCTCTCCAGATGAACGTGCCGGGACGGACGCGGGTTTCTGGCGTCCCTAAGGGTGACCCGTGCGCTTTCCCCATCCTTTTCCTCCCCCTTCGCCTGCACGGCGCCGAAATCCCGATCGGCACGCCAGGCCGGGAGGGAAGGACGCAGGGAAGGAGCCCCGTGCATCCCAGTCTCTCGGTGCCTCAGTTTCCCTTTACGTGGGAGCTCCGTCTCGGCCTCTCCCCGCTCACCGAGTTTGCCGGGAGGGCAAGCCCGTGCCACGTCTCGGTAGGCTGCGCTCCGCCGGGGCGGGAGGCGGAAACCGCGGCTCGGCCAGAGGCTTTTTGGCGGGCT